TGTTTGTGAAAGGGAAATTTGATGTTGGACAATCTAGTAAAGAGACTGGAAAAAACCATCAGAGAAATGTAGGCCCTAAAAACAAAAAGAACAGTAAAGGGAATGGTAGAACTAAGGGGGAATCTAGGAAGTGTTTTTTTTTGTAACAAAACAGGACACCTCAAGAAAAACTGCTATGAATGGATTAAAAAGAACAAACAGGCCAACACCGAAACAAACCTAGCTAGCTCTAATAGTAACCTAGAAACATCAGAAGCCTTTACCATTTCTAATACATCTAGAAGCAATGAATGGGTGCTAGATTCAGGCTATACATTTCACATGAGCCCTAACAAAGACTGGTTTCAAAGACTTAGAACTGGGGAACAAGAAACAATATTCATGGGGAATAACCACTCCTGTGAGGTTCAAGGAATAGGGGATATAATCATTAAGTTGAATAATGGTAAGTTAGTATCACTAACTAGGGTTAGATATATACCCGAACTGAAACATAACCTAATTTCCTTGGGAACCTTAGATGAATCAGGTTGTTCTTATAAGGCTCAAAATGGTTGTATGGAAATCTACAAGAATGGGAATGTGTTAATAAAAGGTTTCTAATTCTACTTTACTTTTACTAATATATCTGTTGCAGTAAAATGGCACCTGAGATTAGGCCATATAGGCCAAAATGGTATGAATGCATTGAAACTGCAAGGTTATTTTGGTAATGATATTGTAACTACTTTAAACTTCTGTGAAACCTGTATCCTTGGAAAATAGCATAGAATGAGTTTCCACAAAGGAACTCATCTTGCTGCAAACTGTCTAGACTATGTACATGTAGACCTTTGGTGTCCTGAAAAGGTAAAGTCACATGGAGGGAACATATACTTCCTTTCCATTGTGGACGATTACAGTAGGAAGGTATGGGTATACCTTCTCAGGTCTAAGGACAAAGCGCTAACAAAGTTCAAAGGTTGGAAAACTTTAGTAGAAACACAGTTAGATAGAAAAGTCAAAACCCTTAGGACTGATAATGGGTTGGAGTTCTGTAACTTAGAGTTTGACACCTACTACATAAATCAGAGGGTGCAAAGGCATAGAACTGTCAGGACAACCCCACAACAGAATGGGATTGTAGAGAGGATGAATAAGACTCTTCTAGAAAGGGTCAGGTGTCTTCTGTTCACTGCTGGGTTGCCCAAGACTTTCTGGGGAGAAGCCCTAACTACAACAGCATATTTGATAAATAGAAGCCCATCTAGTTCAATAGGTTTCAAATGTCCTGAAGAGAAATGGTCTGGAAGGAGACCAAACCTTAAACACCTAAGGGTCTTTGGGTGTGCAGCATATGCACATACCAGAGAGGGTAAGCTTGAACCCAGGTCCCTAAAATGTGTCTTCTTAGGGTACCAGGAAAGGACTAAAGGTTATAGGTTGTGGGAGAGAGATGTACCAGGAGTTAGGATCATAATCAGTCGTGATGTAGTCTTTAATAAGGTCACATTTCCTTGCAAAGTTTCCACTAACAATGCAGGTAACTCAAGAATAGATCCTGAATTGCTTGATCCAACAGAGAGATCCCAGTTTGAGGTGGAGCCACAAAACCTGATAGAACAATCAGAACAACCTGAAGCCATGGAACCACAAAGTACCACACTGTTAAACATTGGGGACTAATATGAAGAAGATGATCAGCCTGAGAACAACGATGAAGACCAGAATGAGAACTTGGCAGACTACCAGTTGGCTAGAGACAGATTCAGAAGGGAGATAAGGCCCCCAAACAGATACAGTTATGCTGATTTGATCTACAGCCCTGGTTGCTGGGGTAGAAACACTGAGGTCTGAACCAGAGACATATCAAGAAGCTGTGAGTACAAAGGACAACAAGAAGTGGCTGGAAGCCATGAAGGAGGAGACGATATCCCTAAGACAGAACAGAACAGAACATGGACTTTGGTCTCAAAACCTGCTGACCAGAAACTAATAGATTGCAAATGGCTCTACAAACTAAAAGAAGGCCTAACAAGCTCAGACCCTCCAAGATACAAAGCCAGATTGGTGGCAAAGGGCTTCACACAAAGGGCAGGTATCAATTTTACAAAAATTTTCTCTCATGTGGTTAAGTTTAAAACAATTAGGCTTATGCTAGTTATAGTGACTCATTATGACTTAGAATTGGAACAGTTAGATGTTAAAACTGCGTTTTTACATGGTGAATTTGAAGAGAGAATAAATATGAGTCAACCAATGGGGTTTAGGGATAGAAACCTGCCTGATCATGTTTGTCTACTGCACAAGTCCTTGTATGGACTCAAACAATCCCCTAGGCAATGGTACAAGAAATTTGACTCATTTATAGTGGGAATTGGGTTCATTAGGAGTGCATATGATAACTGCTTTTATTTTGCCTGTTCTAATAACATGCCAATGTATTTACTGTTATACGTACATGACATGTTGTTAATAAGCAAGTCCAAACCTCAAATAGATGAATTAAAATCAAAATTAAGTGCTGAGTTTGAGATGAAAGATCTAGGGTCTACAAAAAGGATATTAGGGATGATGATTGATAGGAATAGAAAATCAAATAGACTGAAGCTTCATCAATTTCCATATCTGCAGAAACTGATATCTAGGTTTGGTATGACTGATTCTAAAACTGTAAATTTACCTCTAGCTGGACATTTTACATTAAGCAAACTGCAGTACCCCAAAACTGATGTAGATAGGATTAAAATGGAAAAAATCCCTTACTCTAGTGCCATAGGATCTATGATGTATTCAATGATAAGCACTAGACCTGATTTTTCCTTTGCAATATCTCTATTAAGTAGGTTTATGTCAAATCCAGGAATAGAGCACTGGGTTGCCTTAAAATGGTTACTTAGATACATTAACACTACAACGCATGTTAGATTAGATTATTGCAAAAGAACCCCTGCACTTGATCTTGTTGGGTATGTGGACTCCGATTTTGTAGGAGATCGAGATTTGAGGAAGTCCACCACTGCTTACTATTTTACCTTAGGGGGAAATTGCATCAACTGGAAATCCCAGCTTCAACCATTGGTGGCACTGTCCACAACAGAAGCTGAGTATGTGGCAGTAACTGATGCATTCAAGGAGGCAATATGGCTAAAAGGGATTTTGAAAGAGGCAAACTTGATGGATGGCCCTATGACTGTGTATTCTGACAGTCAAAGTGCCATCCATCTAAGTAAAAATCCGGTATACTATGAGAGGACGAAGCATGTGGATGTCAAGTACCACTTTGTTCGAGATCAAATCTCAAAGGGAAGTCTAAGCATACTGAAAATTCCAACTGAAGAGAGCCCATCTGATATGGGAACCAAAGTTGTAACAGCAGCAAAGTTCAAGCACTGCTTGAACATTCTGCACATCAACTGAATTCAAAGAGCTAAGAAGGAGTATGAGAATTGCTTGCTGCACCTGTTGGTTGCTGTCCAAGGAAGGAATAAGGCTTCAAGGTGGAGATTGTTATATGTGAAGCCTTATGTGATGTCGTTTTAGCTTTTGCTAGCACTTCATCCCAACTGTTGGTTTGGTGAAAGATCTGACGGTTTAGAACATAAGTTTGGTCAAACTTATAAAAGCTGAGGTCTACTCCATTCGCGACACACACTGTCTCTCTCTCTCTCGATTGAAATCTCCTAAACTACTTCATTAGGGTTCAAGATTAGGGCTTTGTGTGTGTGTGTAAATCTGTTGTAAATCTGTCCATTGAGTTGCGTTTATTAGTGGTGTTGGGAACCTGTTGCTGTGTTCTTTGTTTGGGTTGTAGGTTTATTATTTTAGTCTGAAGCCGGGTTAGATCTTGATGAGGAATCTTGTAAAGGGTAGAGTCATTGAGGGTTGTAATTGTTCTTGATCGTAATAGTAAGTGCAGCGAGCATCCATATTCTAGAGCTCAACGTGGACGTAACTTGTTCAATCTTGAACAAGTGAACCACGGTAAATACTGTATGTTGGATCTGATTTTACTTTGCGTTGATTGATTGTTTGGTTGATGTTTGCTTAGATTTAGTGAGGTATTTACAACAGTAGCCAAGCATTTTGTGACTGTAAAGCAACATGATCACAGTAACCCTTATTACAACTTTAAAATAGTAAGATTTTTATCTTACCATTGACTTTGGTGTATCAGAAACAAAAATAACAAGCGAATTGCTTTAATCCATCTTTACTTTGCTTTTAAATATAATTTTTCCTGTAATCACATTGATAATTTAAGAAATGAAAGAGAATATTTACCCTTTTTACACACAACGTAGGCAGACAAACATGACATATTTAATATTTTTTCCAATTAAGTTTGTAGAAAGCTTGTATTTCCATTTGTGAGCCGAATCATGCGGGACAGATTGGCAATAATCAAAGCTGTATTCATATCAAATGGTCTAAATAAACCTCACCCTCATCCTCGTCATCAAGATAATCAGATCAGGTAACGTAATTACTGCATGCTATTTACAGAAGATGTGATAAATAATAATTTTATTTAATGAGCTACGGTAAACAAACCAGTCCTCATCAATCAAGTTTCCTCTTCCTTCTCGGCGGTGGTCGGACAGAGCCTAGGTAATGTATTTCAAACTGGCTCTATCTCAGTAATGCCAAAATCCCCGGAATTTTTCAATCATAAATTTCAAATCTGTCAAGAGTTTGTTTGTTTCGATGAATATAAAACTTTTATGTGAGGGAAGAGGGACGATGAAAACAAGAAGCACCAGGAAGGCTAGTTATTTGTACAGGTCAACATTATTATTTGTACAGGTCAAGATTAAGTATCGAGTGGAAAACTAATGTAAATGTTTCTGTTCTTATGTTATTTGTACGGGTTCTTAATTACTCAAACTTTACTGTTATTATATTTAGCCTTCCTTTTGTCTTGGTTTAAAACTATTCTATTGTTCCACTTATCGACTATATGTTCAAAAGGAATGACTTGTTTTCAGTGTGTCCAGCATACTATCAACTCATAAATCATAATGGCCCCAGAAGACACCACTGCAGAGAGAAGAACAACACTCACAGAAGTGACAGCTGACCCTCCTCCATTCTCAGAGGTTGATGATGATAATAATGGAGAAGAAAACACGAGAAGCTGGTGGAAGAAACTTTGTGACATGGAAGAGACCAAGAATCAACTCTTATTTTCATTACCCATGATTCTTACCAATCTTTTCTATTACGTCGTAACCTTGATTTCTGTCATGTTTGCTGGTCACCTTGGCCACCTTCAGCTTGCCGGAGCCACACTCGCCAACTCTTGGGCCTTTGTTTCTGGCTTCGTTCTCATGGTAAACACTCTTATCTCTTCACCCTGATACAATGTATATCCTGAGTCGGAGTCAGTGAAACCGATATTGGGACCAAGGTGTAATGTTCAACGAATAAGAAAACCGAACTTTCAGAAAAATAAATTCAATGAAAAATTAAGTGTAAACTGTAAAATTTAACAAAGGGAGTAAAAAATAATAAAAAAAAATATCTAAAATTTGTGATAGATCCGCCCTCACTTCATCTACAAGGCTATATTTTAACGCATCTTGAAAAATGCAAACTGTTATAAATTGTTTATTTAAAAAAAAAATAATATTCTACGAATATTATAACTTCTTGTTTTTTCTCTTCGTTTAACCTGAAACTTATCAAATTATTTCTTATTCTATTATGTTCAGTCATAGTTAAATGTTCTATTTCAGGTCTTCCATTTACCTGGTATCTATCTATCCATATATATATATATATTGATATGTTTTCTTTCCTTGTTATTTTAGACTGGATTAAGTGGAGCACTCGAGACACTTTGTGGCCAAGCATTTGGTGCCAAACAGTATAGATTGTTGGGGATATATCTACAAGCATCTACCATAATATCATTCTTCTTCTCACTTATTATATCAATTGTTTGGTTATATACCGAATCTATTCTCATTTTGCTTCACCAAGATCATAATGTTTCAAAACAAGCATCTCTATACATTAAATACCTTATTCCAGGACTGTTTGCTTATGGATTTTTGCAAAGCATATTAAGATTTCTCCAAACCCAATCAGTTGTCTGGCCACTGGTCTTCTTCTCAGCTCTACCAGCAGGAATTCATTTTGGCGTCTGTTATGCTTTAGTTCATTGTACATCCTTGGGTTACAAGGGAGCGGCACTGGCAACTTCAGTTTCATTATGGATATCGGTCCTTTTGTTGTCGATTTATGTCCTTGTTGCAAAGAAATTTGAACATACATGGGAAGGATTTTCTCTTGAATCATTCAATTTTATCTGGACAACCTTAAAGCTAGCCCTGCCCTCTGCAGCAATGGTTTGGTAAGTGTGCCCAAATCTCCCATGTATCACGGCCTCACTTACTTTATGTAGAGATGATCTTATTTATGGCCTCTTTTAGATGAATTCATGAATGTGGAAAATCTTCATCGTTTAAAGAACATGCGTGAATTCATGAATTCTTCATAACCGGTTAGTCAGTGATCTCTACACTTTTGCAGCTTGGTGAGCTTGGCTTTCGAGATTCTAGTGTTCTTGGCTGGATCTATGCCAAAACCGGTACTAACTACTTCCTTGGTTGCAATGTGGTAATCTTCAGTGGTTCTTTTTCTTTTTCTTTTCTTTCCAGAAGCATTTTGGTTCTACACTGATCAGTGATAATTTAAAATTTCCTATAATATTTGTTCCTTTTTTTTGGTAATTTTCAGTATTAATACAGAAGCCATAGCCTACATGATTACCTACGGTGTTAGTGCAACTGCAAGGTCAGTCAGTGACAAAAGCTCCTACGTTGTAATTTGTGTTTCCATAATCTTTAAATTAAAAGAGAAAACCTGTGTTTTGTGATAGCACGAGAGTGTCAAATGACTTGGGTGCAGGAAATATCAAAGGAGCTAAGAATGCCATGGTTGTGACGCTCAAGCTCTCTGTCATGCTTGTCCCTATATTCATTCTGGCTCTAGCCTTTGGCCACACCACCTGGGCTAGCTTCTTCAGCAAAAATCCTGAAATAATAAAGGAATTCTCCTCTTTAACACCTTTTCTCATGATCTCAATTGTTCTAGATTCTGTGCAAGCTATATTTTCAGGTAATCTGTATCATCATTTAAATTTTATGTTGATGAAATGTAAACATATATATACAATACCATATCTATATTTGCATGCATCAAATTTTTAGGGGTGGTTAGAGGATGCGGGTGGCAGCATATAGCATTGTGGGGTAACTTGGCAACATTCTATTTCATTGGCATGCCGATCGCCGTAATTCTTGGATTCATGTTGAAGCTTCACGCTAAGGTGAAGTAGTTAATATGTTTCATGAGAAATTACTTCCACTATTTCATTATAATATTTCAATTTATTTTGGTACAGGGTCTGTGGATTGGCTTAATATGCGGCCTCTTCAGCCAAGCCACCACTCTCATATTCATTACTTTCTGTCGAAAATGGACTCAAATGAGCATTCCCATTAACAGATCAAGACAAGAAACCTCAATTGTTGTTTAACCAAACTTCCTCGCTCTATGGTTATAGTAAACATTCATCTGTGTAGAGACAAAGAAAAGTTTGATTATTTTCCACTTCCCAATCCAAGACTTTTCAATTACAAAGGCTACATTAATATTTGTGTGCTGCAGTACTGAGCAATGGGGTCTAATTTTAGCACATATTTGGGTTCTGATTTTTTTTTTTATATAAGATCAGTGATTGTTTCTGTTTTTTCAGTAGGAATGAATTTCATAACAAGTAGGTAATTGGACACTTTCCATGAAGTCATTTTCTATGGCGTGATTGTATTGGGTTTCATGAAAATGGGTTGTTAACATGAATATAAGAGTCTTTTTGTTGTCAATGGGCCAATGAATAGAAGCCCAATAGTTCTCTTGTACACAAAAGCTTAAATAATTTGTTATTGAGCGAAGCTATTGACACCCGTTAACGGAGTAAAGAAGCATTGTTCTCATTTTAAATTTTTAAAATTAAAATTTTTGTTTATGATACACCAAAATTTTTATAAATGCCCCTTATTTTATTTTTTATTCTTTAAAAGAGTTAAAATTCTAGATAATTACATTAAAAGTTTAGAAAAAAGTTAAAACTTAAAAAAAAAAAAAAATCTCACTATCCCCAGAATATGATATAGTCAAACACAATATATATATAATATATATATATTATATATATATATTATATATATTATATATATATATATATATATATGAAAAGAAAATGATAAAATTATATGTGAAGCAATTAAACATGAACAATTTTGTATTTCTTGAACTAGATATCTCATTGAATCTCTTACTTCATCAACTATTTTTTTTTTGTTCTAAAAATGATTTGAATAGCCTAGTTAGTAATTCAATATTATTCGCGAACCAATGGATCATTTGCGAATATATGCCGCCATTATGTGAATTATTCCCGTATTAAGTTTTTATCGAATTTTTAAACATATTTTTCACCGTTTGCTAACATACCCGTAAAATTCCCGTACCTTTTTTTGCCGTACCCGTATATTTGAAATGCTATATAGATTTTAACCAAATGGTCTATGAAAAATGCTAAAACTAGGATTGATATTGCCGTATTTTTCAAAACGTTATTGATAATATACCGTATTAAACCTGTACGTATTTTTTTCGTATCCGAATTTTATGACCGTATTTTTAAAATGTATATGACAATGTATCGTATTAAACTCATACCGTATTTTTCCATATCCGAATTTTATGACAAATTTTTCAAACATATTTTTCACCATTTACCGATCATACCAGTAAAATTCCCGTACCCTTTTTTTGTGTATCCGTATTTACTAACTATGGATAGCATCAAAAAATTAAGGTTTATGAGATAATAATAGAGTGTAAAAAATATTTGTAAGGAATAGGAAATTAAAGTTAATTTTAATAATTTAATTGATGGATAAAATTGTCGTTATAATTTTTATTTTCTAAAGTTAGGCTTTTTTAGTCTGTTAGGGAGGTGCCAATAGATCTATTACTAAGTGCATCTCTATTATATATATATTTTTTTTAAATCTCTTTAAAACTCATTTAATACAGAAGATAGCCCTTCTTAATTAAGTTTAATTGGGATTTTTATTTGCACCATTTTTTTTTTTAATTTCAAACTTAATTATGGTTTTTTATTATACTAATTTTTCTCAATTTGAAACTTAATTAAGTTTAATTGGGATTTTTATTTGCACCATTTTTTTTTAATTTCAAACTTAATTATGGTTTTTTATTATACTAATTTTTCTCAATTTGAAACTTAATTAGAGTTTTCTTTATACCACTTTTCCCCAAATTCTTGATTAGGTTTCTTGTTATACCCCTTTTTCAGAATTTTAAACTTGAAACCTACTTTTTTTCTTCTTCAAATTCAGATTCAGATTCATTCCATTGTGTAATTATTTTCTCATACTATTAATAATATATTTGATATTAAAAAAAAAAGTTTAGAAAATTTAGATTTAAAGTTTATTTAAGAATTACAGTTTAAAATTTAAAAATAATAGAAAATAGAAAATAAATATATTTACAAAATTTATATCATCAAAATTAAACTTGTCAAAGAAAAACGTGGTGGATAAAGACTAATTTGCCGGGACTAAAAATCACTTTCCCTTAACTTTTTCTTTATTTTATCTTTTCCTTTCCTTATTTTATTATCGTACCCTGTATTTAGTCCACCTATGATATGCATCACTGGATCATCATCATCAGACACTAGACATCAAGAAGCTCTCAAATTTAATATTCAAAAACTTAATTGGCGGTACTTTTGAACCATCATTTTTGCTTTCAAGATCATTTGATCGAATGTTAGGAAGAACCTGAAAATTCCAGGCCACGTAATTATCTCTGATAAGCTTGATAGTGCTTGCTTGTACTATTATAAGAGTTTACAGAGAAAGAATCTGTTGGTGTTTAGTGCCGGTGAGTACAAAGGAAAGAGGAGAAGAAATTGAGTTGAGCGAAAGTTATTTTTCATTGCAATTAATATTACAATTTTATACAACCAAAATGCTTATTGTTACACCAACTAATCAGTGCATTTACAGGTTTGAAATTTAAAAACAAGATTTATAACTAATACACCCTTAATCATAGCTGAGAGCACCTAAACATAATACCAAAATCTAACAACCACAGCAGCTCCATTCACGGCAGACAATGGATAGACAAAGTGCTCCTTTGGTGCCAAAATATTTTCTAAACCAACTGAATTTTCAGTTAAATTTCCAACAAAATATCACTGTTTCAACACTCCTCCTTGATATTTTTGTTGGAAACACCAAGTTTGGGCCTAAAGTCTTCAAACTTGGTTTTGGACAATCCCTTAGTCAAGATATCAGCCACTTGATCCTCACCTCTGTAATGAACCAACTTAACTTCCCCTTCTTGCTCAACTTCTCTAACCGCATGGAACTTGATCTTTATGTGTTTAGTTCTTCCATGGTGAACTAGATTTTTAGCCATAGCCACAACTGATTGGTTGTCACACATAATTGCAGTAGGATGTCTTTGCTTTAGTTTCAAATCTTCCAGAATTTTTCTCAGCTAAACAGCTTGATTCACAGCAGCTGCAGCCAAAATGTATTCAGCTTCTTCTGTGGATTGTGCCATGGTTTCCTGCTTTTTTGAGAGCCAGCAGATTGTACCATAATTCAGGAAGAAGGCATACCCTGAAGTGCTCTTCATGTCTTCCATAGAACCACCCTAATCACTATCAGAAAATCCCACCAAATCAAAGTTTTCTGACCTCCTAAACCATACTCCAAAGTTGGTGCTACCTTTTACATATCTTAACACTCTTTTTGCAGCTTTGAAGTGTGTTTCCTTGGGCTGATTCATAAACCTGGACAACAAGCTTGTAGCAAACATGATATCAGGTTTGGTTGCTGTTAAGTCTAGCAAATAGCCAATCAAACTCCTATACTGCCCTTCATCAACACTTTCTGCATTATCATCTTTTGACAGCTTTTGATTAGGAACCAATGGAATGTCCACTGGTTTGCAATTCTCCATATTGAATTTCCTTAAAACTTCACTTGCATACTTCTCTTGGTTGACAAAAATTCCAGTTGAACTTTGATAAACCTACATCCTGAGAAAGTAAGACATTTCTCCTAAATCTGTCATCTCAAACTCATCAAGCATGGATTTCTTGAACTCTTCCAGTTGAGTTGGTTTACTCCCTGTCATAAGAAGATCATCAACATACAAAGAGATAATCATCACATCTTCATCAATCTCTCTAACATACAATGTATGTTCATTTGGACTTCTCACAAAATCCAAGCTCAATAGGTGATCATTGATCCTGCTATACCAGGCCTTTGGTGCCTATTTTAGGCCATACAAGACCTTCTTTAGAAGATAAACTTTATCTTCTCTTCCTCTAATCTTGTACCCTTTTGCTTGTTCAACATATATTTCCGCATTCAGCCATCCATTGAGGAAGGCTGATTTAATGTCCAACTGACAGATTTTCCATCCAAACTGTGCTGCCACTGCAAGTAATAATCTAATTGTATCATGCCTAGCAACTGGTGCAAAGGTATCCAAGAAGTTAACCTCATATTGCTGAGCAAAACCTTTGACAACCAGCCTAGCTTTGTGCTTAAGGACTGAGCCATCCGGATTAAATTTCCTCTTGAAAATCAATTTGACTTGGATTATTTTTCTGTTCTGAGGTCTGTCTACCAGGTTCCAAGTTTGGTTCTTCTCAATCATTGCCAGCTCCTCCTTCATGGCAACTCTCCAAACCTTTGATTTTGCTGCTACAAAGTAGCTTATTGGTTCAAGTGAAGCCATGTTGCATCTCTCATAAACCTCAGCTAAAGGTCTGGTACCTCTAACTGAGAGTTCCTCTTCTACATCACTCTCATCATCTTCAAGAATCTGATCACTAACAGCTTCTGTCCATTTTGGTTTTGTCTCCACATCAGCTCTACTTTCTTCCTAATTCCAAACTCCATCCTCATCTATTTTGACATCCTTGGAAATCAAAATTCTTTTGGTTTCTGGAACATACGCCTTATAGGCTTTGGATTTGCTATTATAGCCAATAAAAATGCCAATTAAGGCCTTCTCATCCAGCTTAGATCTTTTTACTGTTGGAATTAACATGTAACATATGCTCCCAAATATTTTGAGGTTGTCTACTACTGGTTTAACTCCATACCAGGCTTAATAGGGGTTTGGCTGACTAAGGCTTTTGTAGGAAGCCTATTGAGCAAGAACACTGCTGTGTTGATAGCTTCTGCCCAAAAATTCTTTGGCAACTTCTTCTCAGCCACCATACACCTTATCATCTCCATAACTGATATGTTCTTCCTCTCACTGACTCCATTTTGTTGTGGAGTGTAGGGGCTGCTATATTGATGCCTAATTCCAACTTCCTTGCATACTTGCTCAAACTCTTGAGAAGTGTATTCAGTACTATTGTCACTTCTCAAGGTTTTGATTGTTTTTCCAATTTGGTTTTCCACCAGCTGCTTAAATTGCTTAAACACACAAGCCACCTCTTCTTTTTGCTTCATAAAGTACTCCTAACACATCTTGGACCAGTCATCTATAAACAATACAAAGTACCTACTTCTGCTTAATGATAGTGTCTTCATAGGTCCATACACGTCTGTATGA